CTTGGCCAGAGAGACGTGGTGGACAAAGGAGTTCATGTTCGTAGCGTCTTCTTCGAAGTGGCGAACCGTCTTTTCAGCATTAGGAATTATTGTCCGATTTGGATCGCTCTCCATCTGTCGTTTCGTCTTCAAGGAATATCATCGGGAATATTGTTGCGACCCAGCTCTCCATCATTCAACTCGCGCTCCTCTTGTCCTTGTTCTTTAGGCTCCTCTTCACTTTCTTCCGTCTCCGAAAGGTCATCGTGCTCCACGTTGGATACCATATCATCATCTTCCTGATTTTGGTCTTCGCATTTTGGTTCGTTACCTACCGCTTCACTTTTATCCGTTTCCATCACTCCTTCGATGAAGCCTTCGTTGTCTCTTATTATTTCGTCCTTGCTGTGCTTTGCGGGAGAAAGCATTCATGACATTATCCTGAAAACTCAGAGTATGCTTTTGCATATGTTCGAGACTATCTCGAATTTCTGCTTCAAATGTCAAGCGTTCTTTCACCGTATCGCCTAGAGCCTCTATGCGAAGATCGTTGAGTAAAGAACGAAGAGAATCCAACATCTGAATTCAGTTGGAAGTTATATCCTCTAAGGTGTCCATGTCCATTACCAGCGGCTTATTTCCTGCGGTTGGCGCATAAGAGTTTCCCAACAGTGCCTCGTCATTCTGTCCATTGCAATGAGCAAAGACTTAACAGAGACTAGAGGCAACAACTGAGAACTACGAAAGCGAAACTCCAGAGAGAGGTAATCGATTTCGAAGTTTGGCGAGCTTATCTCTGAGATACGTTGCGGAGATGGCTTATCAGAAAAGCGTAACCTACGAAATTTCTCTTCAATAGAGGTAACAGCCTCGGTGATCAGTGCAAAATACAACAGTATTGTCATACAGCACGTAAGGATGCGGAAGGGGAGGAATGGCACTTCGCATACGAGCACAACAAGAATTCAAAATAGCATTCACAATAATTAAAGAAAAAGACATAATAGTAGTAACATAATAACGGTCAAATGCGTCGCGGTCGGAACGATAAACTAATAAAAAAAAGCTCTGGTAATTACAATGCAGCCGCTAACCAGTAAAAAAGGAGGAAACGAAAATAGAGAGACAAGGCTAAGTTGTTGACTAGGAGATTAATTATACATGATCAGATTCGCCTCGAACTCCGACGAATGATGTTGATACGCTAGTCCCCGAGGCGCATCAGTGAGTTTGGACTAGGGTGTTACAGAAAGTATAAAGTTT